AGAAGGGGGAGGGGAGGAGGAAAGAGAGAGGAGGAGAGGGGGAGGGGAAGAGAGATAGGAGAGGGAGAGGGGGGAGGGAGAGGGAGAGAGGGAAGAGGGGGAGGGAAAGTGAGAGAGAGGAGGAAGGGGGAGGGGAGAGAGGAGAGAGGAGAAGGGGAGAGAGGAAGAGGGAAGGGGAGGGAAGTGAAGGGGAGAGGAGGAGAGAGGGGAGGAGAGGAGGGAAGGAGAGGGGAGAGGGGAGAGGAGAGAGGAGGAAGAGAGGTGAGGGAGGAGAAGGGGAGGGGAGAGAGAGAGAGAGAGTAGGAGGGGGAGGAGGAGGGAGAGAGAGATAGGAGAAAGAGGAGGAGGATGAGGAGAGGAAGGATAGGGGGAAAGGTGGGGGAGAGGCTAAGGTAAGGGTCGAAGATTCGTCCAAGATAAGGGTGGGGAGGAGGGAGGTGGGGAAGGGAGAGGAGGTGAGAGGAGGAGGAAAGGGTGAGAAGGGGAGGAGGGAGAAGAGAGAGGTGGGAGGAGAGGAAGGAAGAGGAGGGAAGGGAGAGGAGGCGAGGGGAGCAGAGAAGAGTGAGTGAGAAGGGGAAGAGAGAGGAGAAGAAGAGGAGAAGAGGGTATTACAAGGACAAATACATAGTAATGCTAGTTTGACCGAAAATAGCCCTTACCTTTGGTCACGTGACTTCCTCGCCTGGCAAGCGATGGCGACGAGGACTTCTAATGATTGCTTTCTGTCAGGCACTGTGTGACATTTCCCCAACTGATTGTCTTCCCGATTGTCATAGCTTCTTCAAATGCGTGTCTTGGCGATTGTGGATCTCCTTTAAGAATTCAGAAATCCTTTTTTTTAATTTAGATTTTTTGCTTATTCAGGATGTCTTGTTTCTTACTATTGTTTTTATTCCCTGTCTCTAAAATGTATAGATTTTGAAATACTTCTAAATTTAGATATCGTTTTTGTTTTTTTGTTTTTTTAGAAATCATTTTAGTTAGAAATGATTTTTTTGACCTGTTTCCCAAACGTCACATTTTGAATCTTTATCATAGATTTAAATGCTGTTTTTTTATTTAGGAATCATTTTTCTTAAGTTGAAGATCGTTTTTTTTCTGATTATTATCTTTTGTGCTGCTCCCTAAAAACGTAGAAATTTAGAAAATCCTTTCCTATATTCAGAAATGCTCTTTTTTATCAAAAATCTTTTAAGTTAAAAATCCTTGTTATCATTTTATTTATCTTTTTTTTTTTTTTTTTTACTTTTTTCGGTTCCAAAACGTAGCGGGCAACTCAAGGGCTGACAATTGACAGTAAAAAGGAACAAGACCTTTCTCTCAACGCAGGAAACTTGAAGAATGTACCGGGTCTTCACAACACCGGGTAGGCCTCAGGGGCATAAAAGAAGCGAAGGAAGGGGAATAGAGAGACAGAAGAGAGAGAGAGAGAGAGAGAGAGAGGTGGGGGGAGACAGAGGGGGGGAAGGAGGGTGAGAGAGGGAGTGTGTTAGCCTCCTCCTCCCCTCCTCCCCCCATCCTCTCCCCCAGGGACGAACGCACACCCGCCGTAACAGTAAACTTTATGTAGCATCTTTCTATTTTAGCGAGGTGCTCCCTGGGGTCGGGTAGCGGGCGTACGTGTCAAGACAGAGTAAACCGGGGGGGAGGGGGGAGGGGGAAGGAGGGGGAGGGGAGGAAGGGGAGGGGAAGGAGAGGGAGGGAAGGGAGATGGGGAGGGGATGGGGGTGACAGCGTAAACGGGGAGGGAGGGAGGGGAGGGAGAGAGAGAAGGAGAAGGAGAGGGGATGGGATGGGGACAGAGTAAACCGGTGGGGAGGGGAGGGGAAGGGATAGGGGGTACAGCGTAAACGGGAGGAGGGGAGAAGGGGAGGGGATGGGGGGATGTCAGAGTAAGCCGGGGAAGGGGATGGGATGGGGGGTGACAGAGTAAACTGGGGGTGAGGGAGGGGAGGGGAGAAAAGAGGAGGGGAGGGGAATGGGGGGGGTGAGGGGGACGCTATGTACACCAAAGTACAATCGAGAAACTTGAGGACTTGGTACACTCTTACACCCGACGTGACTTCGAGACGTTAAGCTAAGGAGTTCATTTTCCTTTTTCTGGCAACAACGTGATTTATGATTTTTAAAAGATATATGTCTGTGCATTTCCTTACTCACACACGCACACATTTTATTTTCTTATTTGTATTTGTATTTTATTTTATTTTTTATCTATATTTATCGTTTATTTATTATTATTTATCATTCATTTTCATTTTCATTCATTCATTCATTCATTCATTTATTTATTTATTTATTTATTTATTTATTAATTTATTTATTTATTTATTTATTATTTATTTTTTTTTGTTTATTTATTATATTTATTTATTTATTTATTTATTATTTATTTATTTATTTATTTATTTTTATTATATTTATTTATTATTTATATTATTTATTTAATAAAAGTGACGTTACAAATTTATTCATTGTCTAATTTCAAATTGGATTTTTCGATTTGTTACCCAAGATCATGTGAAGATAGTATTGGATGTTATTTATAGACATGATATTTTGCGATAGATTTTTTTAATGGAATCGGTAAAATAATATAATGATGATGATAATAATGATAATAGATAATTGTACGGCCTACGTTACAATTAGATAATTCACACAAAAAAATATTCTCATCCCCATCACAATCGTAAAACCCCTACTTTAGACTAAAATCATACGAATGAAAATAACCTTAAAATAGAAAAAAACACCCAAAATACCCCGATACCAACTGCACCTTAACCGAAACACCAAAACAGCAATTCATAATACCAAGTTGTACTGAAGACTCAACCCAAGACATCACACGCCCGACTCAAGGACCTCGACTCGCTGACAGGCGGGAGGACCGTGACTGAAGGAGAGAGAGAGAGAGAGAGAGAGAGGGGAGAGATAGAGAGAGAGAGGAGGAGAGAAGGGAGGGACGGAGAGAGAGAGAGAGAGAGAGAGAGAGAGAGAGAGAGAGAGGAGAGGAGAGAGAGAGACGAGAGAGAGAGAGAGAGAGAGAGAGAGAGGAGAGAGGAGAGGGAGAAGAGGAGAGAGGAGAGAGAGAGAGGAGCAGGAGGAACAGAAGAACAGAGAGAGAGAGAGGAAGAGAGAGAGAAAAAAAAGAAAGAGAGAGCGAAGAAGAAGAGACGACAGATAGAACATAACAGAAAAAGAAAAGAAGACGGAAGATGAGAAAAGGGGAGAGACAGACGGGGCGAGGGGAAAGACCGCAAGGCCGTGGGAACCCTTGACCTCAAAGAGGGGAGACAGAGGGGGAACTACTGACGGAAAGGGGCACGTGCAGCCTCCACCAGGACGTGTTCCGCACTGCCTCTGGTTTCCTTCCACGCCTCGTGATAATCTCCACCATCCACATGTGGTATATCGTGTCTTCCACTTAGGTCTTCCACTACACTGACTCTTAATGATAAACTCCGCCATCCACATGTGGTATATCGTGTCTTCCACTTAGGTCTTCCACTACACTGACTCTTAATGATAAACCCTTTAATCCACATGTAGTATATCGTGCATTCTACTCAGTTCTTCCACTACACCAACTCTTCCACTCTTAAAGTCTTAGTTCCACATATTATTTCAGGCCTTCCACTCACCCTTTCCACTCAACTCATCCACTCATAGTTCCACATATTAATTCAGGCCTTCCACTCACCCTTTCCACTCAACTCATCCACTCATTCTTCTAATGAGTTCTTCCACAACATCAGGATCTTCCACTCTGAACTGTCTTACCGTGACGGACGTGAAACTGAAACTAAAAAAGAAGAGAAACCAAGCTTTTTTGTATGAATGTAGCGAAAGCATGTGAAAAAAAACAAGAGAATACGAATAAAAAGGGAATAACTGAGAATAGTTGAGAATAAGAACAGTGAAACATTAGAAAGACAGAGGCGAGAAGTAGAATGTGATAGAATTTTATCATAATAAGTACATATACGTTAAAGGAAGAATATACACAGAAAAATAAGTGTCATAAAATAATAGAAATGAAAAAGTAGGCAAAAATGGAATAAATAAAAACGATAAGGGTGAAGAAACGGAGAGAGAGAGATTATCAGAGGATGCAAGGAATAGAAAGAAAGAAAGGAAAGAGAAACCAAAAAGAAGAAAGAGAATGAGGAGGACTAGGGGGAGGAGCAGGAGGAGGAGGAGAAAGAGATGATGAAACAAAAAGAGGAAGAGAAGTATAAGAAGCCGGAGAAGAAGGAGAAGGAGGAAGATACGGAAAAAAACAGAAGTAGAAGGAATAATAGCAAAAGGAAGAGGAGACGGAGAAGCATGAGGAAGAGGAGAAGGATAAACAACAGAAAGAAGATAAAATAGCAGAATGAAAGAAGGAGAGAGACAACAGAAGGAAAGAAAGACGGAGAGACAAGAAGGAAGAAGAGGAGACAAGAGACAACAGAGGAAGAAGGAGACGGAGAGACAACAGAAGGAAGAAGAGGAGACGGAGAGACAACAGAAGGAAGAAGAGGAGACGGAGAGACAACAGAAGGAAGAGGAGGAGACGGAAGACACGAAGGAAGAAGAGAGCGAGAGACAGCAGAAGGAAGAGGAGGAGACGGAGAGACAACAGAAGGAAGAAGAGAAGGAGAGACAGAAGGAAGAAGGGAGACAGAAAGACCACAGAAGGAAGAAGAGAAGACACAGAAGAAGAAGAGGAGACGGAGAGACAACCAGAGAGAGAAGGAAGACAGAGACGGAGGACGAAGGAAGAAGAGAAGGAGAGGAGACAGCAACAGGAAGAAGAGGAGACGAGAGAACAGAGGAAGAAGAGGGAGAGACAGAAGGAAGAAGACGAGACGGTGACCGAGGAGGACGGGGTGAGAGAGGAGTGGCGGACGGGCACTTGTAGGGTAATAAATTACCTCTGATGCTGTCAAAGCGCCACTCACCCGATACTCCCCTGGGGAACTCCTGCTCCTGCTGATACTGCTTCCCGTGGCCTATCGCTGCTCAGATTCTATCTCGGGGTCTTCCTGCTGTTCTGCTGGTCCTGCTGGGTTCTGATGGGTCCTGCTGGGTCTCTGCTGGGTCCTGCTGGTTCTGGGTCCTGCTGTTCTGATGCTGGGGTACTGCTGGGTTCTGTTGGGTCCTGCTGGTTCTGCTGGTCCTGCTGGGTCCTGATGGGTTCTGCTGGGTCCTGATGGGTTCTGTTGGGTCCTGATGGGTTCTGCTGGGTTCTGATGGCTACTGGGTGGGTTGCTGGGTCCTGCTGGTTCTGCGGGTTCTACTGGGTTTGCTGGGTCTGCTGGGTCCTGGGTTCTGATGGCGTTCTGATGGGTCCTGCTGCTGGTTCTGATGGGTCCTGCTGGGTTCTGCTGGGTCTGCTGGGTACTGCTGGTTCTGCTGGGTGCTCTGTTTTGTAGGTCCTGGCGTCGGAAGGCGAAAATTAATACGTTGGGTTTATGTAATTACTGTTGGGTATTTCTGTGTCTATTTGTTTTATTGTTGTTTTGGGGGGGGTCGTTTTCTCTGTGTGTCTCTTTCTCTCTTTCTTGCTCTCTTTTCTCTCTCTCTCTCTCTCTCTCTCTCTCTCTCTCTCTCTCTCTCTCTCTCTCTCTCTCTCTCTCTCTCTCTCTCTCTCTCTCTCTCTCTCTCCTCTCTCTCTCTCTCTACTATCTCCTCACTTTTTTTTTCTTTTTTTAAATAAACAGTACTATTTTTTAATGTCCTCTTGTTACTGAGCGTCATTTCCGTGTAGTTATTAATCGCGTCATTTTCGTCACGTCATCGAGGCCATTTGTCTCCCTGGCTGCTCGTCCTCGGACCCAGAGACGAATTCCTCCCCGAGAAGCGAGAAGACCTTCCTTCCCCGTGATGTTTCTCGCCAGATGACGAGACACTGACGGCGGGAGGGTAAGCACGGTGGTCTAATACTCTGTTCGGAGAGCTTAGGACTCGTTCTTTTGTAGCGAGTTGACACTGATACGTTTTTTTTTTTTATATTTCTTTTCTTTTTTGTGCCCGGGCGTCACTCAGGGCTTGTGTTGTGACTGCCGTCCCCTCGCCCGGGCTTGTCTTTCGTCCCGCGCGCAGTTTCCCATGCTAGCTTAAAGGCCCTTTCGCGCTTGTACTTTTGCCGTCATTTTTTTCTTTTTCTTTTTCTTCTTCTTCTTTCTTTCTTTCTTCTTTCTTCTTTCTTCTTCTTCTTCTTCTTCTTCTTCTTCTTCTTCTTCTTCTTTCATTCATCATCATCAATCATCTTCATCTTCATCTTCATCTTCATCTTCATCTTCATCTTCATCTTCATCTTCATCTTCATCTTCATCATCTTCATCTTCATCATCATCATCATCATCTTCATATCTCAATCTTCATCTTCATCTTCATCTTCATCATCTCATCTTCATCTTCATCTTCATCTTCTTCATCTTCATCATCTTCATCTTCATCTTCATCTTCTCTTCTTCATTTCTCATCGCTTCTTCTTAAGGATTGGATTTCTTAAGCTCTATCGCACAATCACTTTTTTTCCGTCTATTTTAGCGTTTCCGAAAGAAATTTCCGTATGAAAATTGACAGGTTTTATCACATTAGCGTCAGCAAACATTGCCCAAACATGCCCGGGAATCACACGAACATTCTCGTACATATTACGTTATTTTAAAGAAATATAATGTATAATGTATATTGGAAGAAACATAATGATGTATAATGTATATACGAATGTTCTAAAATATTAGTTTATGTTTATATTCAATTCATTCTATCTGATTTATCAATGAAAACATTCTAGCTGTATAGATCCTTCGTAGCACAAGATCAAGACGGAAATTAGACGGAAACGGGCGCAACCTCCTTCGTCTGGAAAGCCTCAAATTCGGAAGGAAACGTAAAAATTGACAGAAAAACTGCTTGTGTGATAGGGTCCTTTAAGGTGCTGTCACACTATCACTTTTACCGTCATTTTTTTGACAATTTTATTTAACATGGATACAGACATTCTCGAATATAGCTCTTGATTTGACTATGCTTGGCTGAAAAAGTTGACGGAAAGGTTTTCAGACGGAAACGATCATTATCGTCTGACTGGAAAATCGACAATTCGCTCAAAAATGGACAAAATTTCAGAAAATTGTCAAAAAATTACGGAAAAAGTGCTTGTGTGACAGCACCTTAATTAGTGTCCCGCCGTTTTTTTCGTCTGATTAATATCCGCCTTGATCTTGTGCTGCGGAAGATCTGTACAATTAAAATGTACTTTTTATAAGATAGAATAAGTTAATGTAAATAATTTAATATCCTAGAATATTTCCATATACAATATACATAATAATATTTCTTTAAAATAAAGTCAAATGTCAAATATGTGATTTCCGGGACCTCACTCGGATGGCGCCATGTTTGTTTACATAGGCACTAACTAGCTGCCTTAATAGTGTGATTTAGTCCATTTACGGGTTATCCCATGTTCATCCGGAACGCAAAAAAATGACGGAAAACAAAGAAAAGTGATAACATAATAGGGAAAACTGACGGTAAAAAAGTGATAATATGATAGGGCATGCACATACCCTGGACGCTGGCCGGCTGGGGTGGCGTCCCGGGCCAGACTAGTGTAATGAGGGAAATCTGGCTCCTTTATAGGCGTTGTGTGGGGTTTATGCTTCTTTTTGGCTTTGGTGGAGGGCGCCCTTTGTGGTGGTTTTGGGTTTGTTTGTATTTTATGGTTGTTGGCAGGTGGGTTGATGTTGGTTGTGTAGAGTGTGAGTCGAATTCCTACTTGGTTCCTATTTCTCTCTCTTTCATTCCGAATGTGTGTGACTGTGCATATAACAATACATGTATGTATACACACACACACACACATATGTGTGTGTGTGTATATATATATATATATATATATATATATATATATATATATATATATATATATATATATATAATATGTATATATATATATATATTATATATATATATATATATATAATATGTATATATGTATATGTATATACATATTTACATATATATATGTGTGTGTTTGCTCTATCTCCGCTGCTTTGTTATCTCTCTTTTTCTCCATTTCCATCAGCGAATATATAAACAAGCGAGTGCATTCACACGTTTCCTCCGGAGTCCGTTCGAGTCCGCAAACAAAAGAAAATCCCGTCCTGACAGCAGCAAGCGACAGCGTTCGCATATCTCTCCGCCCGGATCGACGGATTCACTCGTCCCGTCTTTTGACTACGCATTTTGTCGCTACCGATTCCCTCCCTCCTCCTCCTCCCCACCCACGTACCTACGCCTTCACCCCCGCAAAGCCATCTAAAAAAAGAAAATCTTAAAAGTCTTCCGTAAAAAAAAAAAAAAAAAGTGAGAAGGAGGGAAGAAAATCAGCCCCATGCCGTAGAAGAGTTTGTTTTTCAAAGACTTAAGGGATTCCTGCGGTGATGTGAGACAAAGCGTGGAAAGAGGGGCGCCGGGTTCCAAAACTCTCCCCGGGGATTCTCCAGCCTGTACGCCCGTCAACACTCACTATGTCTGCCTTCCACGCCCACGACTGCCGCATTTATCTAACTTTTGTCGTCATTCCGCCCGTAATGTGTCCGCTCTGTACTCGTGCTTGTAGTTATGTCGGGAACTCGGCGGGAAAAGGGAGCCCGTTGGTGAATTTCTCCGGGAGCTCGGAGACAAAACGACATATTTTTACTTTAATATTTTTGCTTTAATAATTGGTAGGGTTGTTGGTACTCATATCGCTGTTATGCTTGTTTTATTATTATTATTATTACAATTATTGTTAATGCTATTATTCTTATTATTAGTAGTAGAAGCAGTAGTAGGATAGGCATTGGTATTTTGTTTTATCGTCACTATCATAACCGTTAATGATTAACAGTTGTTATCACTCTTAAAATTGCTTTTTATTATGATTATGAGTATCATCATTATTACTGATTTTTTATTATCATCGTCATTATATTATTGTTTATTATTATTATTATTATTATTATCATTATTATTATTATTTTTATTATCATCATTTTCATTTTAATTATCATCATTATTAATTATTGTTTTTATTTTATAATTGTATCATCATTATTTATCATGTTATTATTATTATTATTTTATTATTATTTTATCAATATCATTATTTATATTTTTATCATTATTATTATTATTATATTATTATTATTATTATTATTATTATTATTTATTTATATTATTATATTATCCTTAAATATATCATTTTGATCATGATTTTGTTGTGATTTTTATCTTTTTATTATTATTATATTATTATTATTATTATTATTATTATTATTATTATTATTATCATTTATTATTATTATTATATTATTATTATTATTATTATTATTAATTATTATTATTATTATTATTATTATTATTTATTATACATTATCATTATTATATTTATTATTATTATTATTATTATTTATTATTATTATTATTATTAATTATATTATATTATTAGTTTATTCCTATTTGCATAAGATGATATTGCCAAAGTAATAATTAATGAAAACGTTAACTATGATAACGATAGTAAATTAAGGTGATCTCTTTTTGTTATTATTGATATTATTGACATTGTTTACATCATGTTATTTTTCTTATTAATAATTTTCATTTTTTATTATTATTATTATTATTATCATTATTACTACTACTACTTATTACTACTATTAGTTATTATTATATTAATTATTAATTAATTATTATTATGTTATTATTTATTATATTTTATTATTATTATTATTATTTATTTATTATATTATCAATTTGTTATTATTGTTGTTGCCATTTATCATCATTATTATTATTATTTTCATCATTTGTGTTGTTATTATTATAATCGTTATTATTATTATTATTTATTGTTATTATTATTATTATTATTATCATTATTATTATTATCATTATCATTTTTATTGTTATCATTATTATTGTTATTATTATCATTACTATTATCATTATTATTATTATTATTATTATTTATTATTATTATTAATTATTATCATTGCGCGCGCGCGTGTGTGTGTGTGTGTGTGTGTGTGTGTGTGTGTGTGTGTGTGTGTGTGTGTGTGTGTGTGTGTGTGTGTGTGTGTGTGCTGTGTGTCTGTGTGTGTGTGTGTGTGTGCATGAATGTGTTTGTGTATGAACGTACGTGAGCGTAGGCGTGTGTGTCACCGAGCCTAAAGCAAGATTCATGTGTTTGTTTTGTTTACTTTCACTACTGTGTTTCTTTTTTCTTTCTTTCTTTTTTTCTGATTTTGAACTAGAAAAAACACACAAAAAACAGAAACATTTGTTGTCGTTTTTTAGATTCATTATTCCCTTGTTTTGAGTCTGCGTTGCTAAGGAAGAAGTGTATATATGCGAATCACTTCACTATTGACTGACTAAATTATTGACTATGATTCATTCTTTTTTTTAATTAACGTATCCGATTGATTTTTTTCATTCATCCATACAACTTGTCAATCTATTTATATTCTATATTCTTATTTATTTCGTTATAAATTCGTACGCATTATCATGCTTATAACATAGTCTGTGTTTTGACTTTTTAAATATATATTGCAAGAAAATTATCTACGGTTTCTATCTCGTTACTTTGATATGATAATTATTAATTAGAATAACTTCTGTATGAAGGATTTTATTGAATCATTACAATTTAATGCTGTTAAAATAGATGCCGAGGGCCATCTGCCACACATATGTTTATTATGAATTGTCAACTCGCACGCATTCACTCTCTCACCTTATAAAGCCCTAGAGATGTCGTCATTCAATTGCAAAAAAAAAAAAAAAAAAAAAAAAAAAAAACATCTATATATGTATATGTGGTGCACCGGTACCGCAGTCGCCATCTGTTTAATCAATATCACATTTCACTCAGTCGTTTCGATATGACTGATTCGAAATGACACGTCTATATCACAGACGAAGGAATGGGTCCAATCCTATTTGCCGAAGAGCCAATCAATACCTCAGAAAAAAAAGCAGAAGAAAAGGAAAAAAGAAGAGAAACAAGAACGGAATGGTAATCATACTCCACCCAGAGTAGTTCTTCCCGGTGACGCAAGATGGCAGTGGCAGTCCGAGGTCCTGTCGGGGCTTCCTTGCCTCCTCCCTCCCTCCCTTTCCCCTTCCCTCCCATCTCCCTTCCTTTCCCCCTTACCCCCCCGTCCCCTTCCATCCTCTCCCCTACCCTCCCCCCTCCCCCATCCTTTGAGAAATCTCCCCCACCCCCTTCCCACTTCCTCCCCCCTCCCTTTCCCCTTTCCCTCGCCCTCCCATCTCCCTTCCCTTCCCCCTTCCCTCCCCTTCCCCTCCATCCTCTCCCTTACCCTCCTCCTCCCCATCCCTTGAGAAATCTCCCCCACCCCTTCCCACTTCCTCCCCCCTCCTTTGAGACATCTCCCCTCCCCTCCTCTCCCTCTCCCCCTCCCTTCCCCTTCCCACTTCTCCCCTCCTTTGAGACATCTCCCCCACCTCCTTCTCCTTCCCTTCCCTCCTCCATCTCCCTCCATCTCCCACCCTTCTTCCTTCCCACCTCCTCCCCCTTCCTTCTCCCCATCCCCCTCCCTTCCCCCTCCCCCCCCTCCCTTCTCCCTCCACCCTCCCCCTCCCCCATCCCCTTCACCCTCCCCTTCCCTCCCTCCCTCCCCTTCCTCCCTCCCCCTCCCTTCCTCCCTCCCCCCTCCCTTGAGACATGGCCGGGCTGTGGTATGCAGCCTCCTCCAGCTGCGGCGGAGAAAAGGGCTTACCGGCCAGCTTATCAAACCGGTAAGAGGTCCCGGTCGTTATCGTGACTGGGCAGAGCGGGGAATGAGGTCCGGTGGCCAAGAAAGTCCTCCTCAGACACGAGGGCGAGGTTTTATGACCGGCTCGACCTCCCGTGACCTCGCCGGGCTACCGATGCTTGTTACGGAATATTATTGTGATTCTCAGCGCCCGACGGCAAAAAAAGGGGGTTTATTGTGACCCGAGTCGGTAATGTGGTTTTCGGTTTATAACTCCCTCCTTTGTTTTGGCAAAGTGGGGGGCGGGGGGGGAGGGGAGGGTTATGTAATCAGCATCATTTTTTTTTTTTTTTTTTTTTTTAAATAAAATGTTCTTTCTCTTCGCTTCTCTCCTCTTTCTCTTTCTTCCTTTCTCTCTTTCTCTCTCTCCCTCTCTCTATATATTCTCTCTCTCTCTCTCTCTCTCTCTCTCTCTCTCTCTCTCTCTCTCTCTCTCTCTCTCTCTCTCTCTCTCTCTCTCTCTCTCTCTCTCTCTCTCTCTCCTTCCTCCCTCCCTCCCTCCCTCCCTCTCTCTTCCTCTCTCTTCTTTCATTCTCGCTCTCTTCCTTGTCTGACTAAACCACATTATAAACCTAAATAGAAAAGGCCCGTCTATTAAATTCATTTATATTACGCACAATTATTCTCATGTATTGTCTTCAATTATTTCAAGCAAGGAGGGCAGTGAAGAATAATTATGATGATGAAGACAGCCATAACAGAGGTGGCTCCAACACGTACATTCGCTCATTATCAAATCTCTCAAGGGAAAATGGTTGATTTCGTCAATCTCAAATCTTTATAGTGTACTAAGAGAGATGAAAAATTATAATAGATTGCTGGTAATTGATGTACTTCTTTGTACAGTTTACAGATACGTTTCAGAAGAATTCATGAATTTTTTTATGTCCGTGTGATTTCAGGTATATTATGAAATAAGTGAATTAGAGTATGCAAATTGGTATTGTTCATGTAATTTATACATATCGTGGAAAATCTCGTTCTATTTGTTTATCTATTTATCGATCTTTTTGTCTCTATCCCTCCCCATCTCTGTCTGTCCTTCCCTCCTTCTCATCTCTCCCTCTTTCCATCCCCCCTTCTCTCCTTTCCTCCCTCTATCCATTCATCTTCCCTCTTTTGCTCCCTCCTCTCCCTCCCTCCGCCCATCTTCCTTCTTTCTTTATCTCTCTTTATGTCCATCTATCTGTCTATCTATCTATCTCTCCCTCTCCTTCTCACCTTTCATCATCCCTCTCTCTTCTCTCTCTCTCTCTCTCTCTCTCTCTCTCTCTCTCTCTCTCTCTCTCTCTCTCTCTCTCTCTCTCTCTCTCTCTCTCTCTCTCTCTCTCTCTCTCTCTCTCTCTCTCAGTTGTATTGACCAGCCAACGATCCTCCTGTGTTCAATCTTGCATGAACTGCCTTATTTAATTAAACAGATCTTCAATTTTTTTTTCCTAACGTGTGTACACAATACCCCAGTATGAATTTCTCCTTCCTGATCACACTATGCAAATCAGCTGTTCAAACAAGCATACCAAATGCCAACAGTATGCTACACACTTGTACATAGACGATGCTGCTTTCGACTCCTCATATATTTTATACACTTAATGTTGGCTCTATTGCCCGTGGCCGCTGCGCCGCTCGCATAAATTCTCCCTTGTCTCTGTTTTGATGATAACAGGTGGGAGAGGGAGAAGGAGAAGGGGGGGGAGGGGGAAAGGAGAAAGGGGAAGGGGGAAGGGGAGGGGAGGGGGGAGAAGGGGGGAGGGAGAGGGAGAAGGGGGAGGGGGGAAGAGGGAGAAGGAAGGGGAGGGAAGAAGGAGAAGGAGAGGGGGGGGAGAGGAGAAGGAGAGGGGGGAGGGGAGGGGGAGAGGGAGGGGAGGGGGAGAGGGGAAGAAGGGGAGGGGGGAGAGGGCGAAGGGGAAGGGGAGGGGGAGAGGGAGAAGAGATGGGGAAAAGGGGGAGGGAGAGAGGGGAAGAAGGGGAGGGAGAAAGGAGGAGAAGGGGTGAGGAAGGGGCCGGAGAGGAGAGGAGAAGGAAGAAGGGGGTAGAAGGGAAGGGGGCGTAGAGGAGAGGGATAGAGGGGTAAGAGGGATGGGGAAGGAAAGAGGGAGCGGGAGGGAGGGAAAGAGAGAAAGGAGGGAATTAGAAGGGGAAGGCGAGGGAGAATGAAAGAGAAGAGTAGGAGGCGGGGAAGAAGAGGTTGTGGTGGAAGGAAGAGAAGAAGAAGAGAAAGACAAAAAAGAAAGGAAGAGGAAAGACATAAGAAAAAAGGAGAAGAGGCGAATGCAATGAAAAGAAAAGAGGAAAGTGAAAGAAAAGGGTAATTCAGAGTAAAGAGGAAGAGGGGAAATGGAAAGAAATGTAAAAAAAGAGGGGACAATGCAAAAAAAATGGGAAAGAAAATAAAATAAAAACATCGTTAAACATTTCCTTCCCTTCCATATTTCTCCCTCTAACATTTTTCTCAATCTTTCAATTACTCTCAATTTTTGCTCCCACTCCCCCCCCCCCCCCGCAAATGTCAGAAAATCCTCTTTGAAGGATTTTTTATGATTTTGTTTTCTTCTTTTATGTGATTCTCAAACTTTCTTGGGGATTTTATGTATTCAAAAGCAACCTATTTTATGCAACAGCTCTGCATAAAGATGTATGCAAATTTAAATGTACATAGAAGCTACCTGGCTCCACCCATGTAAATACATAAATGTCATGTACACTTCTGTTTGTATCTGTTCTTTGACGTTCAGTTCATAAAAATGGCTCGACGCTCTTTAGTGTTTTTGATATTTACTATTTGTCATAATTCCCACATTTATATATTGCATTCCGTGGCTTCTATGTAATTTAGTTGCAAGATTCGGAGCGTATGGTAGAGTAGATATGAAATGTTAATTGTACTAATGTCATTGATTTTTTTTTTTTCTTTTTTATCACTTATTTATGTTATATGTTATTCGTGGTGTTAGGGGAATATAGTAATTAACAGTCATAGGCAAGTTAGAAACGACTTTTAGTATCTACAACTGTTCATTTTAGTAGCTGTATCTAAAAATATTAGGACAGGAACAAAAGATAACTCCCTTGGATAAAACGTTACTGAACAGCAATCTTAGAAACCATCGAAGCACCCAAAACCAATTAACAACCACCAGTAACGGGTTATAGATTGTTAAGTTACACACGAACCAGCACAACAACCATTGAAAAGACTGCACCAACCAGGTAGTTTAACAACCATATCCACCCGTGAAACAACTTTGCTTACGACTCCCTACCATGAAACTTGTTTTTGATAACCATAAGCACTCGTTGGAAACCCTTTAATAACCATATACACCCGTGAAATTAATATGACAACCACAACCCCACCTTGACATTTTCTCTATAGCAACTACAACCTCCCGTTGGTATAGCAATGACAGCCATAAAGAAAAAAATAACAACTACAATCCAACAGTAAACCCACATCCACAACCACCTCACCCACGCCCACAACTACCTCACCCACGCCCACAACTACCTCACCCACGCCCACAACCACCTCACCCACGCCCCACCACACCACCTCACCACCCCCACAACCCACGCTCACGCCCATCCACATAGCCACACGTCCCTCACTCCCAGCAGCAAGGAGGGAAAAGCCAGCACGGGCTTAAAAGCAGCTTTCCAAAGGGGTAATTACCTCAAAATCACAAGTGCATGAAATAGTGGGGGTCCATAAAAATCACAACAGAGAAACTCAACACAGTGGTAGCTAGACCTCGAGATAATTTGGCAAGATAGCAAGTCGCTGCAACCTGCAAACCGCCGCCGCCTCCGCCTCCCCTCCTCCTCCTCCTCCTCCTCCTCCTCCTCCTCCCTCCTCCTCCTCCTCCTCCTCCTCCTCCTCCTCCTCCTCTCCTCCTATTTACTACTACTATTACTTCTTTGCCTCCTCCTCCTCTTTATTATTATTAATTATTATTATTATTATTATTATCCTTCTTCTTCT